GTCTGGGCAACAACGAAGTTTTAGAGAAAATGGAAGCAAAAAGTCACTTACATTATTCGGAAATATTGTCCTCATCTTTGTCGCCATATTCATTACGACTTTTCGGCCGTTGTACGCTCCGGCTTTCTTCATATGGTTGGAATGTCAAACTGAACCTTTTATTTCGCTCACTTGGGTAGACTGTTCTAGTTCCACGTGCAATTTTTAAGGAATATTAGTTATCAGTTTTCTCCTGTTAATTTCCCTCTGAAAGTTCTCCACTGCCATAACCGAGTATTGAACTCACACTCTTTGGATCCTGTCACTGGATCTAACTAACGCCTTTATCCACTGTGCCATGTGTCTTTGTGCATGAATTTCTAGGTGTTATAAACCTAATGCCATCAGCAACCATTTTTTACCGGTGCTCATATAATGTGCATAATAGCTCATCTCAGAAATATAGACAGAAAGACACTTACACTTAACATCAGGAAGAGACAGTCGGAATTTCTAAGGCACATAATGAGGAAAGAGAGCTTGGAAATTGTGATACGCGTAGGGCAGATCGAAGGCAAGAGGGACAGTAGAAAATAACGCATAACCTATCTAACGAACCTGAGTAAACGGGTGACAGGGCTTAGGAGAGATAACAAAAAGTCAAAATTTAGTAAGAGTTACAAAGGGTAGGAAATTGTGAAGAGCCATGATCGCCAACGTCTTGAATAGACACATAACATAGATAAAGAATCAGAATAATGCATTGCTTATAATATAAATATACTGGAAGTATTTAACGGGCGGAAAATTTGACATTCCAACCACCTGAAGAAGGCCGTAGCGTAGAACGACCGAAACGTTATAATAATAAATATGGCGACAAGGATGAGGACAATAGTCCGAATAATGTAAATAGTGTACATAATACCTCATCTCCGAAATATAGACAGATACTGAAGGGCCGAAACGTTGTAATATATATGGCAACAAAGATGAGGACAATAGTCCGAATAATGTAAATAGTGTACATAATACCTCCTCTCAGAAATATAGACAGATACTGAAAGGTCGAAACGTTGTAATAAATATGGCAACAAAGATGAGGACAATAGTTCGAATAATGTAAATAGTGTACATAATACGTCATCTCCGAAATATAGACAGATACTGAAGGGCCGAAACGTTGTAATATATATGGCAACAAAGATGAGGACAATAGTCCGAATAATGTAAATAGTGTACATAATACCTCATCTCAGAAATATAGACAGATACTGAAAGGTCGAAACGTTGTAATAAATAGGGCAACAAAGATGAGGACAATAGTCCGAATAATGTAAATAGTGTACATAATACGTCATCTCAGAAATATAGACAGTTACTGAAGGGCCGGAACGTTGAAAATGTGACACCCAAATCCGAAGTTGCATCGAAATATCGAAAAGGCTAAAGAATATATAAAGAAACTAGATTTCCCGAGAAACAAAGAGTGCTAAACTCTCATATAATATCAGTTCTTTATGTCAATGAACACTGGACAATCTCCGGGCAGATGAAGACGAGACAAATCCAGAAGTATTCTGTGAATATCATGGACCAAAAAGGAGAAGAACGAGGAAATTTTAAGAAAAAAGAAAAGAAAATGGTCTCGTATACTTTGAATCCACAAGAGTTGGAATATCTAGTACAAAAATAGAACGGGAAGAGGGGAAACAATTCATGATCTACCTAAAGAGTTTGAGTAAATGTATGATAAAACAAGGCTTAGGATAGAAGATAAAAAGACTTATTTATTAAGAGCTACAAAGGACAGGAAATTGTGGAGAGCCATGATCACCTACGTCCTGGAGTGACACGGCACACAGAAAAACAATTTGTCCTGGTTTCCGAGTCCTTGTATATGTTTTAGTTTTCGTTGCAGGGAATAGGTTGAATGACTTTCAGAGCAAGTCTCGTGTCTAACTTTTCGTTATATTCTTGTCAATCTATTCAATTCTGTTCATGACAATCCACAGCTATTAAAAAAGATTGCAGCCTCGATAAACCTGCTGAAGCCAAAGTACCGCTGTCCATCAATGAAAAATATATACGTTAGCATCACGTTTTCTTGCTTCCGTTCTCATAATATATGCGGAGAAAACGTTAATTAAAATAAAGACTCTCCTACGCGGACGTGCGGATAATGTAGCGGTTAACAGCACGGGAAATAGTACCAATGAACGAAGGTCAAAGTCTACTGCGGTCTGTTCAATACATTTTAATGCTATTAGAAATGGCAAGAAGTCATTTTCCTTCGGCCCTCGGATTGAGGAATCGGAGAGCCGAGTTCGAATTACAGTTGAATCCATTGCATTCACTTACGTGCTAATACCCTTGAGAAAGGTATGAATTCTCTTCTCCTCACCAGCTATGGGTAAATAGCAAGACAGACTGGGTTCTATAGTCTTGGATGGCAAATAGTCTAGGAGAAGGACAACTCTGAATTCAAAAACCTGATCCTCCAGGTTGTGGGGGTTGTGTAATAGGCTAACAACCTACTCACTACATATATATATATATATTAAGAAATGGACAAAGTCCGACAATTTATTTATTAAAGACATTTTTATGTTTAACGTTCTTTTTATAGACACAAGTATTTAAGTAAATGCTCTGTACAGAGCATTTACTTAAATACTTGTATCTATAAAAGAAAGTTAAACATTTTATATATATATATATATATATATATATATATATATATATATATATATATACAGGGTGTCCATAAAGTTCGTGTGCTATTTAAAAATTATAACTTTATGGACACCCTATATATATATATGTATATATATAGCATAATGAGAACCAAGTATACTTTCTTAATATGTATATATAGAAAAAGTTGCATATTAAAAAAATAATAATGTTCTTTAATGAAAGTATTTATTTATTTGTATATATATTTGATATTTCAGATTGGCTTCAATAATCTCTGAAGAAAGATTGAGGCCAATCTGAAATATCAAATAAATATACAAATAAATAAATACTTTCATTAAAGAACATTATTATTTTTTAATTTGCAACTTTATATATATATATATATATATATATATATATATATATACATATGTTAAATAACAGAGCAGACTTTGGTCTCTTGCTTTGAATAGCAACTAGTCTAGGTGAAGGAATTTAAAGGCATATATATATATATATATATATATATATGTATATATATATATATGTTAAATAACAGAGAAGACTTTCGTCTCTTGCCTTGAATAGCAACTAGTCTAGGTGAAGGAAAACTCTTAAATAACAGTTTCGTAAATAATAAGATACATTGGATTCTTTCGTATTTGTAGAATAACCAATCTTTGAGATAACACAAATATAATATTCAGCCTGACAAGTGATGTGCAACATCAGGCTATCTTGCCTTAGTTGCACCCACCGCTTTTACGGCTTCCCCAACAACCAAAGGGTTTATTGGTCATCCATTTAGGTAATGAGCAGGCTTCAGTGACCGTACGGTAACCGGTGTTTATGTGGTCGTTAGCCATGACATTATGTGAGGTCGTGGTCACATTACTGTAACGTTTAAATCAACTAACTACTCATCTCCAACGTTCTCACGAAGTTATGGTAAAATTTATGAAGTACTTGGGCTGAAACACGTCGCTCCGGTCAAATAATATCTGAATATTTTTCTTCTCTTAACAAAATGTATAGAAACTATATAATGTCTCTTCGTATTTTTTTTTTTTGGTGGGGGGGCGAGAATCATTAATTTAGATTGGTTTCGTGTGTTTTGTTTTACGGTAGAGCAACCTCAATGGGTCATTTAATGTCAACCATTTTTTTTTTCAGGTCATATTTTTGTTTTATCAAAAATCTATTTCTGTTAATATTTTTTTCCTCAAAAACTTATAGCTGGTACAGCGTCACCCGGATGTAAGAGAGTTGTCGGGACCGGAGAAGAAGTCTCTTATATCCGGGTTTCTCTTATATCCGGGTTTGTTCTATTTTATATACATTAACACAGGCTCTAATTTGGGACCAGAGAAAATCTCTCTTATATCCGGGTTTCACTTATATCCGGGTTTCTTATATCCGGGTTACACTGAAATAGTTTTTTTTTGAAAAACACATTGCTGGTAATATATTTATTTTTCTTCAAAAAATTATTTCTAGTAATAATATTTTTACAAATTATTTCTGGTAGATTGTGTTTTTTTTTTTGTTTTTTTTTTTTGTTTTACGTCATATCAATCTCAATGGGTCATTTAATGCCGACAACTTTTTTTTCTGGTCATATTATTGTTTTATCAAAAATCTATTTCTGGTAATATTTTTTCCTCAAAAACGTATAGGTGATAATATTATTTTTCAAAAACATATTGCTGGTAATAGTTTTTTTTTTTTCAAAAAATTATTTCTGATAATATTTTTTTACAAAGTAGTTCTGTTTTTAAAGCCTATTTTTACACTTTTATAATACCTTTTACCTCAGTTTCTGGGTTAACTGTTTGCCCATAGCTGGGACCCTAACAGGTGCTACCACCCCGGGTCAGGGTGGACCTGGGAACACCAGCAGAGGAGATTCCACGCTCCTCAAGGCCTCCTGACCAGAGGGGTAGTTTATCGTCATACCCAGGACACCATTAATTTAGATGCTAAACGCGTGTTCTACAATCTTCATACAATATACCACCAGATTTGAGTTTATAAAATCGGGCTGCAAACCTCTGTGTAACGTTGTAGCTATGCAGTTACATACCTTCACATAAATATAAACATATATGTTAAAAAAGTTAAAATGAGAAAAGGCAGAAAGTAAGAATGAGGAAAAGAAACAAAATAAAAAGAGGGACGGAAAAGAGATCAAATAATAACAAAGAGAGAGTGAAGCAATGTTGAAGGTACCTAGGAAATGAAAGGCAATCAGAGAGGGTAAGTGATGAGGTGAAGGGGGAGATATACAGTTATAATAGAAAGAGAGTAGAAACTAAGCCAAAGGGCCAAAAAGAGGGTCATTATTGAGAGAAGCTGGAGAAATGGAAAGAGAGAAGAGAAACTACGCGAGAAGGACAGAGAGAAAGGGTTATAGAGAAAAGCGAGAGAAGTGGAAAGAGAGAAGAGAAACTATGCGAGAAGGACAGAGAGAAAAGCTTATACAGACAACGGAGAGAAGTAAAAAGAGAGAAGAAAAACTAAACGTGAAAGACAAAGAGGAAATTAATCAAGATAGATAAAGAGAGAAGCAAGAGAAATGGAAAGAGCGGGAAAAACTAACCTAGAAAGACAAACAGGGGCAGTTAAAGAGACATGGAAACAAAGAAGAGAAACAAAACTAGAAGGACAATGAAGTACTGAGAGGAAGGGGTATAGAGAGCATCCAGAGAAATGGAAAGAGAGAAGAGAAACGAAGCTGGGAGAGAGAGAGGAAGGTTTAAGGAGTGAAGAGAGAGGAATGGAAGGAGAGAAGAGATACGAAGCTGGGACAGAGAGGAAGGTTTATAAAGAGAAATGGAAAGAAAGAAGAGAAACTAAGCTAGGACAGAGAGGAAGGCTTATAGAGAGAAGAGAGAGAAATGGAAAGAGAGAAGCGAAACTAAGCTAGGACAGAGAGGAAGGTTTATAGAGAGCATCCAGAGAAATGGAAAGAGAGAAGAGAAACGATACTGGGACATAGAGGAAGGTTTATAGAGAGAAAGGGAAAGAAAGAAGAGAAACTAAGCTAGGACAGAGAGGAAGGTTTATAGAGAGCATCCAGAGAAATGGAAAGAGTGAAGAGAAACGATGCTAGGACAGAGAGGAAAGCTTATGGATAGAAGAGAGAGAAAGGGAAAGAGAGAAGAGGAACTAAGCTCGGACAGAAAAGAAGGTTTATAGAAAAAAGGGAGAGAAACAATGCTAGGTGCAAAATTACGGTAACGTTGTGGAGAGACCACAAAAAAGTTTTATGCAACCGCTATGTAACATTGCACAAACGTTGTAGTAACGCCATTTTGTCAACCGAAAAGACACATATCTCTGTTGCAATGTTACTACCATCTGACAGGGCCACTGATATGATGGTGGATTCTTGCTTTGGAGTACGGATTACCCAATTCCGTGAAAGTGTAGAATTCTACAATTATGATTGGAAAAATATGTTTTTTTTAGCTTCAACTCCCAAAATCTTTTTATTAATAGCAAAACTGTGGGGTCTGTAGCACTTAAGTCACTGTAAGGGCACACAGTGTATTGAATCTATATTAAAATCTTTTCGGCAGTTCCAGTTTTTGTTGATTCGATCTCGTGCGGTTTGTTCTACTGGTCGAGGTGTCTACCTTCCCAGAGTGCTGCATTATCATAGCGCTTTGTAGAAAAAGTGATTAGTAGAGACGGGAAGATATAGAATAGAAAGTGTGACAGATTAGGAAGAAAAAATATGATTTATACATGTGCGTCTGTCAGCAAACGAAATGTTACGACAATTTTCAGGGACCTTATATTTTATTCATAAAATCGATACCCTTACCGCTTCACACATACATCACACACACACACACACACACACACACACATATATATATATATATATATATATATATATATATATATATATATATATATATATATATATATATATATATATATATATATACGCTAAGATTCACCTTCCTCTCTGCGGTGCGCCGATATCTTGAGGTAGATTCTCCGACTGATGCCAAATCAGTCGGGTTTCGATCCCGGCTTGAAGCAATCGGACGTCTAGCCACACTGATGAGCTGTGATACAGCGAAACAGTCTGTCTGAGGATGACTATATATTTATATGTACACTAGTAATAATCTTATAAGTATAAGAAATTATAAGAAATTATACTCGTCCGAAAAATCTTCGGTGTCTTGATTTGCAAATAATCAAATCAATACCAAAGGGAAAAAAAGTATAAAAAGAAAGAACAAAGAATTATATATATATATATATATATATATATATATATATATATATATATATATATATAAGTTTTACGTTTTTTTTATAGATATAATTTATTTAAGTAAATTCTGTGTTTTTTTTTAATTAAACACTATTAATTACATTTACCGGCTTGAATGTTAGAGAAATTTCTTAGAAAATATTCACTCTCTTATAGGAATCGAACCCGTAACCCATTTTATCTGACGTGCTGTTAACCACTCAGCCGGAGAGAAGTGTCCGAATTACTGTTTATGAACACACACGTGAGCGGATATGATCGATCGAAAAAAACCTTGAAAGGTCTGTTTATAAACAGTAATTCGGACTTTACAAACTAGATGTTTCTTTGTGACTGAATAGTTAACAGCGCGTCAGATCAAATGACGTTTCTCATTAGGGTTACAGGTTCGGTTCCTGCCAGAGCGCTCATATTTTCTACGAAATTTTTCGAACATTCAGGCCATTAAATCTAATTAATACTGTTTAATGAAAAAAAAATAAATAAAAAACTTAAATAAATTATATCTATAAAAATAAAGTATAGATATAAAATGTTGAAGGATTCTCCCCTATTTACAAAATGGACTCACCCAGTATATACATATACTACTGCTACGGGAAGACCCGAGAGAGCAAGACCGAAGAGTCGAATCCAGAGTGACAGAGTAAAAGGTTGTAGGTAACCGGAAGTGTGAGGGTGAGGTAACAGCGTTGTCGGAGTCACAGTGAGCGAGCACGTAGACTCAGTAAGAAGTCATACAGCGATACTTCAATACCAAAGACTCTCTCTCTCTCTCTCTATCTATATATATATATATATATATATATATATATATATATATATATATATATATAGCTACTAATGCGTATTCTTGGAACTACTAACCTGTTTTTTACCAGTTTGTATTATTACGTTAATACATTATTTTCATATATTCATTCCTGGCATTTGTTATTTATTGGTACCGGATTTCAACCCGGAATCCACAACATAAAACATATTAAATAATTGTCGGACTCAATATATTTCATAATATATGTCGTATTCATTTTACAGACAAGTCTGCATTCAAAGAAGAACCTATATTTTATGAAGACTATATATAAATATTTGTACTCATTTTGTGATTATCTACACGTAGCTTAGATTTGACACATGGTCGAAAGTGTAGTACACCCAGTGAGAATCGAACTCACGACTCAGTCATAAAAGATTTATTGAGACAAGCTTAATAATCATTACTCCACGGCGAAGTGCCCTTTGGTATCTTCTGGGTTTCCAAATTGTTCTCACAGATAATTAAAAACAAAGGAATCTCTGGAGAGACACAGTAACCTCCGTTCTGAAGAGTTCTTCAAATCAACTTTTAGCCGATGTCTTGTTTTTATTCCTTACGACTGCCAGTATAATTATCCGATACCAACTGATTTGCTTAAATTTCTTGTTGCCTAACAAAGCTTACAGACTACCTACTATTTGGAATTTTATTTTTTGTAAGCTGCTAAATAAAGAGAACTTCGAAAAGTGCATCAAGTCTTTTGGTCATGTGATAATTTTGCTTTAGGGTCACTTTCTGTTCTTTCACCAATACTCATTTGTAAAATGATTCCCCCTTTTTTTTCTACACATGCGCAGCTTTAATTCAATTAACTTCCGTGATTATTTCCAGTGCTAGAGGAATTGTTCGTTTTGTCTATTTCGACTTGCTAGACTAACAATTATTCTTCTCTATGTTTAATCCATCATGGCGACTGAGGGAACACATCAACATCAAATAATAGAGATGCTTCACCTATAACGGGCAAAAGTTATAAAACAGACATAAAATTAGATATGAAACTGGGAGCGTTATAATGAATAGATATTATCGAATCACTGTTCGTTGTAAAGCAAAGGTCCCTAAAGTGTACGATATCAACCCCTGGGGGTCGAATGGACTATCTAGGGGATCGATAAATACCAGGAGATTCAAAATGGCGTCAATAAATAAATCCTTTTGACTTATGAGTAAAACACATCAATTTCCAACCGAATAGCAATGCCCTAGTAACTGCTTATCAAACACACACTTCCCGTTAAAAATGTGAGCCAATCCAATGGAATGGTATATTAAATTAATTTTAATGTGTTAATTATTACCTATATCATAGTTTCCTCAATAATTTCATTATTATTATTTCTTTTATTTCCTTTGATTTCTGGCGTTTACACATTTCTTTCCGGGTCCTGCCCAGAGACCTAAGGTTAGAGATGGCATCATGACACTTTCCACTGACCAAAAAAAAAATTACGTAGATACAGCCTTTCGTAAAGTGTGGTTTTTGTATCTCTTTGATGCATTGACTTCTAGGAATCCCTTCAATCTACTGGAATCTTTTCCAACCAATTCTAGGGCTCCAACTACAAAAGGGATTGTTGATGTTCCTATGTGCCACATTTTCGAGATTTCTATTTCAAGGTCCTTGTATTTTGACAGCTTTTTGAATATTTTCAAAGATAAATTGCAGTCTGCAGGGACTGCCATATCAATAAGGAGGCATCGTTTTTGTTTGTGGTCTTTAATAACAATATCTGGCCGGTTGGCCTTGATTGTTCTGTCAGTGTGTATTGTGTAGTCCCATAGAATTGTAACAGGTCCTATCTCCGTAACCGGGTCTGGGTGGTGTTCATACCAGTTTCTTTCAGTTTCCTTCCCGTAGAAGTTGCAGATTTTCCAGTGCAGATATTAACCCACTCTGTCATGCCAGGTTTTATATTCAGTAGGTGCAACCTGATACAATATGATCAATCGTTTTTGGATATTTATCACAGAATCTGCATTTTGGGCTAACACAATATTTTAGTATGTGTGCTTGATAATTTCTAGTTAATGAGCATTGGTCCTGCGCAGCAAGGATAAAACCTTCAGTTTCCGCTTTCAAACCTACACTACGTAGCCACTGATAGGTACGGGTTTTGTCTACGTCAGCTTGTTTGGTACGGGCAGAGTATTGGCCATGAAGCGGTTTATCTTGCCAATGTTTCTGTATCTGGTTGGTTGCATTTGTCGTTGCTTTCTTTTTGAAGTATTTCGCAGCTTCAGCCGGTGTACTGTGCTTTACTTGTATTTCTGCGACTATTTGAAACTCCATGTTGAATTTGTTGGCTTCTTTTATTACGGAGTAAAGACGCTTTTTTGCTTTTTTTAAAATTATTATTATTGTTGTTATCATCTTTTTAAAATTCTGTGTGTCTCCTGTATTTTAAATACGAAAGACTGGCCAAAACTTCTTAGTAGGCACTAATCCTGAGTGACAAAGTGCAGATATTTTACTTGTTGTATTGTCTGGTCGCTTTTAGACTAACTTCCTTTTCTCGCGCCCCACCCCGTCTTTCGTACACTGCATATTTATACTTCCCCAAATCTCGTGGTCGCCGTGATTTTGTGTTAATTTGTCAGCATAAAAACAATATGGCTTCCTACGAGATTCTTTTTACGTACGGACGTCCATGAGGTAAGTTTTTTTTCTTCAAAGTACATCCCCTTCTTCCTTACTTGGCGCTTTCGGATGTTACGCCCTGTCAATACCTCATGAATAATGAATTGTTTCGTTGTGATCACGAGGAAAGTCATATCAAAGGCACTCTTTTATTTCAGTGAAAGAAAGAAAGAAAATAAATGAAAATCCGTGAAATTTTCATGGGTACTACTATTTATTATACGTACAAAAACTTCTAGTATAAGAGGTATGATCAAAAAGTATCGGGACATTTGCTATGGTAACGTAAAGTACACAGAGTGAAGCCGCTTGGTACAGATTTACCGTGAATACTGTTACTTATACATACTAAGTTATAACATTCTTGCTGACTTCCGCTGTTTATAGTCGTGCTTGGAAGGCAAGTGTGTAGGGTGTGGTCGTCGCACCACACCATAGAGGTTCCATCAGTGAACATGGCTTATGCAGCAGTTTTTCTCTAGGAACAACATTTCTCAATTCCGACAACCGCCATATTCCCAAGATCTCTCTCCCTGTGACTGTTTCCTCTTGAAATCCCACATGAAAGGAACAATATTTCAAGACGTTGAGGAAATCCAAGAGAATGCGACTAGCGCGCTATCTCAAAAACATAATTTCAAGTAGTGCTGCCATCAAAGAAAAGGACACTGAATAAAGTGTGTCACTTCAGAAAGGGACTATTTCGAAGGAGATTAAATGCCGAATTGATAGATTGTGTAGTTTTCTTTATATAGCTGCAGACCTATTATCAGACCTCGTATGAGGAAAGATGCAAATTTAAAAATGAATAAAAAAAAAAAAGTAAAGCCAACATTAAAACGATTAATAAAATTTCTACTCTTATTGTTTTTTTGTTTTTTTTATTATTATTATTGATATTTTTTGTTTCCGTCTGTGGTTAGATGAGGGACCAAGAATTCCATGAAGGGGTTGATAGCCTAAAATAATTTGGGACCCCTTACGTATAGAAATCCTCGACTGTTACAATTATATTTAACATAAAAACAATAAAAAATCTTTTGCAGCAAAATCTCCCCAGATAACAGGTAAATAAAATGTCTTTCAAAGAGCGAAATGTCTGAAATAAATTGGAAGGTAGGCTTTGGATATGGAATGATAGGTTAATCTCACATACGACTGAGTCAATCTATGATGTTTACAAAGAAACGGAGATGAGGTCTCTGTCGCAACGAAGTGGGCAAAATCGTCAAGTATTTTACCACGGGCAGGGAGCATTTCAAAAAGAGAAGATAAGTCTACAAATATCTAGTGGAACAAAGGAGAGATAATTGTCAATGATATGTTACGAGCAAAAGCTATTTTGAAAAGAGACGAAGCGTTTCAGATAGTTACCGTCACAAAGCTGAACTGCATGTCAAATGTTTGGTTACGAATCGAGCCTATTTTAGACGCAAAATAAGGAAGAAAAAGAGAAGAAAACTGATTCAGCTACCGACTCGAAGATAAAAGGAAATATTTTCTAACCGTATTGCCAATATAGAAACGACTTCAGATATTTAGTGGAGAAAAATGACATAAATATTGACTAAATAATATCAAAGAAAATAAATAAGTTTCAAAGAACAAAAATATCTTCAGATATCTGTTTATATTTCTGAGATGAGGTTTTATGTACACTATTTACATTATTTGGACTATTGTCCTCATTTTTGTCGCCATACTTATTACAACGTTCCGGCCCTTCAGTATCTGTCTATATTTCTGAGATGAGGTAATATGTACACTATTTACATTATTCGGACTATTGTCCGCATGTTTGTCGCCATATTTATTACATGTTTCGGCCGTTGTACGCTCCGGCCTTCTTCAATGACACATGGCACAGTGGATAAAGGCGTTAGTTATTTACTCAAATAACATTTGGAAAAAGTATAATTGATTTTTACAAGATTTTTAAACGGAGAATTTAACTTTTGTTTACAAAAGTCTCAAAAATGTCGGACATCATCGATTTTATAGCAATTTGGATGACTAAAAAACAAGATTTTTAACTAAAATTTCGGACGTGCTAGGAAGCATGAATAATATGAAAAATAATAAAAATAATTTTGTCTTTTCTCTTAATAATAACATAAATATTTAGACGATAAAAAATTGTTTTCATCAAGTTTCATCAGAGTATCCACTTTTTTTAGCGAATTGGTGGAGATATCTAATTATCGGCGGGAAAATAAAATTAGGAAGCCGAGTTCAAATTGCAGCTCTGTGTGTTACAATCACTGTCGCGCTGATACTCTTCGGAAAGGCATGAATCTCTCCTCCCTGCTAGCCTCAATACCGCGTTAGACTCACCTCTCCGATTAAAAATTCTGACACATTATCCACATCATTTGCACATCTAAGCTTACAACACCTGGTATTCACAAACGGTCACTTATCTAGATACTGACCAGGTTCGACGTTGCTTAACTTTGGTGATCGTACGGGAACCGGTGTTTCAACAGAATATGGTCATAAGCCACAATCCCTATTTGAACAGAAAAGAAACGTTTTTAGTTCCTTACTGGAGCAAATCGGAGATACTTGTCAATTGTGGGGTACAACGTATAGACCTTTTAAGAAGAGAGGAAACGTTTTAATTTCCTACTGAAACAAAAGGTCTCTATTTGTCTAAAAATGGCTGCGAAATTTTAGGTGTTTGGAAATGAAAAGAAATAACATGATTAGACACTTGCTTGAAGAAAGCTGGGAGTCCGGTCAAATGTTGGGTTCGAGAAACAGGTCTTTTAAAATGATAAGAAACATGTTTAAATCCTTAATGAAACAATAAAACAGTTAAAGCGAGGCAATTCTGAGAGAATTGGAAACTGTTATGGAATCATATCCATAATACTAATAATGGACTATTCCATACTTAATAAATACTGCCCCTCAGTCAGTCGTTCAAGTCGAGTCAAGAGTCGAGTCAGAGGCAGCCTGAAACAGAGTCGCGTTCAAAAAATTACTGCAAGACATTGGAATAGTGATACTGGTCGAGACTACATTGTTCTCTCTACTAAACCTGATTGTTCATACTAACACTTCTATATATATATATATTCCTGTTTGTAATATATCTGTGTTATTCCATACCTGTTCGAGTTCTTCTTTATTAGTTCTGCCTTTGACTATCACCATGGTACAAGGAACCGGACTATAACAGAAACCCTACCGGGATTTAGCATTGGCGGCCACAATCTTAGCAATATAAGATACGCAGATGACACAGTAATGATAGCAAACACGGAAAAGAAAAAGGGACGGAGGGTGTGAAGAAGGGACTAAGCATAAATTACAAAATAGAATGCATGATCATCAGTAAATGGATGATCCCGAAATATGTTTTGCAGGTCGGGAACACTTCAATGAAGCGGAAGTTTAAATATCTGGGAAGTGTTCTGACAGAGGACGGTAAATGCGACACTGAGATCCGTAGACGTATTGGGATTGACAAAGACACATTCCAAAAGATGGACAGAGTATTGCGAGACAGGAGGATTCCTTTGGTAACAAACAAAAGAATACTGAGCTGTTACGTGACGTCTGTCCTTCTTTACGGCAGCGAATGTTGGACGATTTCCTCAAAGATGAAGAAGAGACTCGAGGCGATGGAGATGTGGTTTTACAGACGGATGCTGAGGATATCATGGACCGAGCGTGTGAGCAATGATGAGGTCTTGGAGAGGATGCAAGCAAGAAGGAGGCTTATACTTAACATCAGGAAGAGGCAGTTCCTGGGACACAAAGTGAGGAAGGAGGGCCTGGAGAATCTGATACTCACGGGTCGAATAGAGAAAGAGAGAGACAAGGGGAAACAATGCATGACATACCTAGCGGGCTTAAGCAAGTGGGTGACAGAACGTGGTCTGGGGGAGATAGCAGAGGGAAAGAACTTCTTAAGAGCTAGAAGGGATAGGGAGAAGAGGAGAGCCATGATCACCTACGTCCTGAAAGAACATGGCACATAAAAAGAAAAACTCGTCAAACGTTGGCTGCGAGACGCAGCTATTTGAAAAGAGAGATGTGGTTAGTTACTTACTGGAACAAAGAGGGAGTACTCGTTTAATATTGGATTCGAAGCAATGGTGATTTGAAGAGAGAAAGAACGTATTTATTTCCTTATTGGAATAAAGCGTAGTTATTGGTCAATTCTGGCGTACGAAGCATAGGTTGCATAAAAATAGAAAAAATACATTTAGATCGTTACTGAAACAAAAGGGCGTTACTTATTTAATACTGGCTTTGACCTGGGGATACTTGTCAAATATTTGGCTGTGAGCTGTTGGTCTTTTGAAAACAGAAGAAACTTGTTTCAATTCTTGTTTACACAATGCGAGGTTAATTATTTGCCGGGAGCGTAAGCTGTTTCGAAAAGAGAGGCTTCTGCGACTACTTAAAAAAAAACGGGTGTGGTACTTGTAAATCAGTCCCTGTGATCAGAGGCAATTTAGAAAGGAGAAGATTCATGTTCTGATGAATAATTCATCGGTTTGGAGATATTCGTAAAACATTGTCTTTTAATCAGGGCTTCTTTCAAATAGAGAGAAACCGTCTCTTTTATTCCTGCAAAGCAGTGATATTGATCTAATCTTGACCGAAGGCAGAGGCACTTTCTCCATGGGAACACGCGACTTCAGATATCCACTGCAGTGATATTTGTTCAATATTTGCTTTGATCAGAGGATATTTCGATAAGTAACCTTCCCTCTACAACTGCGCACGGTCACAAAGTGCTGTAACTCTTCAAATATCGCTTGCGAACCATAATTACAGTAGAATCACTTATATCCAGAATCCCTCATATCAGGAATCCGTCATATCCGGAATCCTTCATATCCGGAGTGCCTCATATCCGCAATTCCGCATATCCGGACATAATTCTGATGTGTACATTTGAACTATTTGGGTGATATGTAACTGATTTGAAATTTCTGTTTTTCAGGAAATTCACTTTGGATAATTGCTTATGCTTATTTCACTCTAATGGCTTCTATTGGTGCAAAAGATGATGGGAATAAGAGGAAAGGATGACAACGAGTCACATCTGCAACAAGATGGCGACGAGATGCATGATTGTGATGAAACCTGAACTGAAATTGAAAAAGCTATTGAAAATGTTGTCAGTTTTAAGGAAAGAAAGCCAGCATTCAGCTAAGACGATTGCAATAACTCTCGCAGAGTTAAAAAAAATGTCTTTCCTTTAAAAAATTCCAAAAGCAAAAACGAAATGCGGAAAAATTTAAGAATGGCATTAGAAGAAAAAGAATCATTACGCAAAAGTGATTAAAAAATCCTCGTTACATTATTTGTTTTGCATACGTGGCATAATTAATTTAATGTATTTTCATTAACATTATATAATTTATTTCTTTTTCCTTAAAATCAATTCCGTTATATTTCACTCACCGCTAGCTTATTTTGTTTACTTTAAAACATTGAGAATAAATGTTAAACCTGATTTCAGTTCTTTTAATTTAATCTAAATATAACCCTTCATAACCAATTCTTCATAGGCGGAAGGCCTTCTAAGTCCGGTTGTCAAGGATTCTACTGGATTTGGCAAAGAGAAGCGCAATGGGGAATTAATCTATTAGCAAAAGAAGGAAAATCTATGGGCGTCACATTTTAAATGACCTAGCAGTTAATATTTCGATATCGGCGGCGCATCATCTTATTATAATTATACTTGTTCCTCCCAACTTTAGTTTGCACGATCGTTACGCCCTGCCAATACCTCGTAAATAATGTATGATTCCGCTTTGATTGTTTGGAGAGAGGGGAAAAGAATCTACTTGGTTTAAGTAAAAAAATAAAAGACAAATAAAGTGTTAAACGTCTCTTTCTGTGGAATGGGAAAAAATGTCAATTTCAAATCTTCTCAATTGTACCCGCTTGTTAAAATGACGACCAGCATTCAAACGGCCTCTATATCTCTGAGATGAGGTATTATGATTATTTACATTATTTACATTATTCGGACTGTTATCCTCATCGTCATTGCCATATTCACAACGATCGGTCGTTGTACGCTCCTGCCAGGTGTCATGCGTCTTCGAAAGAGTCATGGCACGTGGAAAAAGAACAATCTACCCCGGTGAACGAAATAAAGGGTTCGGTTCGAATTCCAATCACCTGAATAAGACCGGAGCGTATGGTGGCCGAAATGTTTTAAATATTTCAATGAAGATGAGGATAACTGTCCGAATAATGTAAATAATGTATATGATTCTCGGGTTTTAATCACATCAAGTCGATTTGTCATGAGGCTGACCTCGATAATATCGGCCTGGCGAGGTGACCCTAATGTCCGAACCCTTTTTGAAAGTGCCTGAAAGGTATACACATGTTGATCCGATCTTTGTGAGAGAATATGGGTAGTTGGGAGTATTTTGAAGACGGAGATAATTGTGTTAGCAGTGAATTCACAAGTCATCATTCAATTACGCCAGATTATATACTTCTTTTTTTAAAAATCATTTCAGCAAAGCAAGGCAACACATCCACTAACACGCAATGGAGGCGGGGTACTGAGTTTGGCTGAAGAAAAGAAAATCATATAAAAAAGATAACAATAGAAAAACAGGAAATGGAAAACAGAAAATAACGATTGGCATTGCATTTAAATTTTTAAAGATCAAAGTTGACTGGAAAGCAAGAAGAGGGTTCCACATTCGAGAAGTGCAAGGGCTGCTAACGTAGAACTTACGGCTGCATCTAGCCATTTCAACTGTAAAATGATGAGACATTGCCCCGAATTAAGTTCTACGCTTAAATTCATCTGCCAGAAACGATAATTATTAAGAACCACTCAGTATATAATTGTTGGCAGTTCGTATCCAAGTGTACCTGTCGAATAGGGCGGCTAGACAATCCCTGATGCAGACGTCTGTGCAGGCATATTTGTGTTTGTTTAACACCCACAGAGCCCAGCTGTTCTTTATACTACAACTATGCTAAACAGACCATAGTTCGAGTTTATGGCGTTATCAACAGTCTGTTCAAGGTTTGTAAATCCTGATTATTTTGACTATGTACTAGCACAACCATCGACGTCTTCAAAATCATTTCGTCTACTAAATCGTCCATCTCGTAAATCTTGGGGTCAATCCGTAGTATGGCTTTCAGACCATTGACAAGGCTGTCGCAAGCTAGAATCGAACCTCACCTCACAACCGATGACATTGAGAAATCACCTTCCTTCCCGGGTATCATGGTCGAAAAGCGAATCAATCAAGCAGTATGTATTGGTTCTATAGCCTTGGATGGCAACTGGTCTAGGAGAAGGACAACTCTGAATTTAAAACCTGCGGAGGGTCGTTTGGGGGATCTTGTGGCAATCGGTGCACCAGGTCTTTGCATTCGGCCCTTCAAAAAGTGTGGATGGTCCTGCACGAAACCTTCACCGCTATAATCAAATCTCATGTGCCGGTGTCGGGCTGTCGGTTTCCTGGAAACTTATCTGCTTGACGCTCATAC